ATTTTAATAATTTATTTTACGGACCATTGCCTTGCTAGACTTGGTTGTTGCCATGCTTCCTGACTTTGGTCTCCTCCCCCACCTTGGGGAGATGAATCTTCTCTCTCTCTCTCTCTCTCTCTCTAATTTACTTTTAAATAAACTATATTTTTAAATCTAAAGAAAAAAGTAATAATAATTTATTTTACTTAGACTAAACCAAAATATTATCATTTGTAACACACAATCCATATAAAACTTTATTATATGGTTGACATTCTTTTTTCCTAGTAAGTCTTTTAAATCCATTTTGTGTTTTCCATTTAAAGTGCATCTCAATTTGCACAACCACATTTCATATGTTCAAAAACCACATGTGGCTAACAGCTATAGTATTGGATAGCACCGGTCTGAGTAATATGTCTTTTTATAGATACTGTGACCCCCCAGCTCCACCTGGCACCTAGAATGCCCTTAATAAATACATGTTTGATTAAGCTTTCCAATGTCTTTACCTAGTTAACTGAGATCTTGCCCTTAGCTTTAAGCATTTTTGTAGAGAATTATAATAGCTTCATCACAAACTGATAATGTGTGGTATAATGGACATTTGAGTTTTTAGTTTACAAATCCATATTGCTTCTTTTGTACAAATGCATTAATCCATATGGACTTAAAAAATAAGGCTGATTTTACAGACTAGTATGGTATGTGATTCACATTTCTGTGTTGCCTGTGTACTTGACTCATGGTTGGTATTCAGTACCTATGGCATGAGTAAGAAGACATTATAGGTTTCCTACCTTTTCTTTTAAATTGCAAGTTCTTGAGTAGCCATGATATTTTTACTGTGTAAACCCTTTTAGCACTCGATGCAGGGTATGTAGGTTTGTGGATATATGTAAGGCACAGCGGGAGCATGTTACATCTCTGTTACTGCTCATGGAAGCATTCTCCAACCTTTATGTTAATGTTGTCTGTTTTTTATGCCTAAACACAGGAATTCGTTGAAATGGAAAGGTAGAAGGTCCAGGGTTTCAAATTCAGTTAGTTGAAGTTCATCTTCACCAGGCAGGTGGTTCTAGCCCCTCCCATGGCCTAGGTGTGGAACAGCTGCAGCTTTCTGGTGGGAAAAGATCTGAAAGGCTTGCTAGGGCAGTAGTGTGGCAAATCAAAGGTGGCGTGGACCCTGGGGAGTGATACTTTGATGTTTGAGCCACTATGCTAGGTGTCTTGTTTAGGACAACTAGGATGTTTTTGGATATCACATCTTCACCACTATTCAAAGCTTAACTGCTCAAATGATTATCACTGGGCCTTGAGGCATTCTGGCCCCCAGCACCCATTTCACTCCCATACCCTGGAGCAACTTTCCCACTGCCTGTCCCTTTCTCCTTTTCCCTGCCTAACCTGAAGGCTTTTCCTAGTCTTCCCTGGCCTCAGCTCAGGGAACAGCTTCCTTGTTTCCCTCCTTTGTATCCCCTTGTCTCTGTGGAGTCAAGTCCCTGGGAAGCAGAGGAAGTAGGGTCCACCCCATGGGAAACCCAGAGACCAAGCCCATCTCTGGACTCCAAGTACTAGTCCATCTTAGACCCAGCTGTTACAGTTGGCTTTTTATTCTGTGAGGGTTTTTAGTATCGTGTTGTTCATTTTCAGTTAATTGTGATTATTTTCCTTGTTGACCTGGTTTCTATAGGAGACCCAAAGAGCAGTACTTACTTTCAGAATGGAAATAGCCCAGAGAACTCCCTCCTGCGGTGACTGCAACACTGTTAGAAACAGGCAATGAATGGAGTACTTAGGAGGTGAGGGCGTGCAAGGTCATGGGTAGAACAGATCAGGAAGCGACTAATAGCCAAACAAGTGAATGATAAACAAGTCCTCCCTAACCTGCAGTTTTGCAGGGTACATTGTAAGTCATTTCACAGTACTCATTGCATTCAGACTCCAGGGAGTGTATATTTCACTTCTGTAGGTTTATAATGTAAATTTAGCTATTGCCTGCAGAAATGAGCTGAACAGACAGAAATGCAAGCTGCAGCTATTCTGTTGAAGGTCCGGGTACCCCTTTTATTATGGCATCTGAGGTGACAGACTGACTGTGATTGAGTGAGTAAGAAGACACCAAAGTATTTGTCAGTACTCTTAGGTTGCTTGAACTATTTTAGGCTAGAAGGCAAGTGTCTGGGCTTAAGTGATGGTGTATCCTGTACTAAAAGGGTATGGCTGTAGCAGGACCTTGACGGTCTGTGGAATCAGCACTCCTCCCTCCTAAACCACCTTTCTGTACAGAGCTAGAATTGGGTCTTGGGTAGCTGCCAGGCTTATGGATTCCCGGTTTCCCACCAGAGAAGAAGGACCCCTTTTCCCTCCTCGAACTCCAGCATCCCAGGGAGAGTCTCTGACTAGCCCTTCTGGGGACATATTTCCGCTCTAAGGGAGCATCTGCTACTAGAATTACCTGGTTAGAGTGAGGCGGGGGGGGGGGGGGCTTTTTG